GGGTACATTGTATTGAGAAGAGGCTAACAGCAGAGAGAAGACTAGTTAGGCAACTTTTGCAGGAATCTAGGTCATTGATTTTCAAACCCTTTGTGCATATATACCCATTGAAAGAATTATCAAAAGCTATATTCTTTCTGGCACATTTTTAAATTGATAGCTAATTTTTTCCTTTGTAAATTTAGATGGTTGTAAATAATATATTTTATAAAGTATTGTAAATAATGACATTGAAGTATGGTACATCAATCTTTTAGATGTATACAAGGAAATCCAGACACCACAGCAATTTGATACCCATTGTCACCCACTTAAAAATGTATAGGAACAGACGTTCTTCTTGATAGAAACTTTGCATTATTCCTTTTTCTTCTTAAAATTATATTTCCACTTCCCATCTCAAAATTTTGTATAATGTATTATATTTTGTACTTGGAAAATCTTTTGATTACCTATCTCCGTTGTAACCAAAATACATATATAAATTTAAATTAATTTTAAAATTTCCTATGACCACAAAAAAAGTATTCACCTTTTTATTCCAGATTAAGTTATCATCGAAGTTACCGCCAGGATGAAATTTCCAAAGCAATATAAATGAATTACTAATTTGAATAATTCTTTAAAATTTTTTATTGGAGACATTTCTTTTTTAAAAAATTTTTTTAACATCTTTATTGGAGTATAATTGCTTTACAATAGTGTGTTAGTTTCTGCTTTATAACAAAGTGAATCAGCTATACGTATACATATATCCCCATATCCCGTCCCTCTTGCATTGGAGACATTTCTTAATAAATGGAGCTTTTCTTTCCCCTCCAACTAGTCCATATATCCTTAGATAAATATTATTTACTTCTATAATGGGACCAGATTCAACATAAATTCTAATTTTATTTCTGTATTTGTAAACATGGAGAAAACTTTTTTGTATAAGTAAGGAGATGGGAAAGAAAGAAAGGAGTTTTGTCATAACAATGTCACTCATTTCTGTGACTCCTGATATGTACGTAGCAAAACAGTATATAGTGATCTACCAGTAAAATTTGTTAGCTGGCAATTTCATTAGATCCATTCTTTTTTCAGTTTCATTGAAAACGAAGAACTAAACCCACTTGATTTTCAAAAGTGGATTTACTACCCAATCATTAGAGTCATTCATTTTCTGTTTCTGGGAAGTATACCAAAAATCTTTTAAAATTAGTTCAAATTATGATATTACTCTCATTTAGAGGCATCTTGTTTAAACTGATACATTTATAAAATAGAATATTGTTAGTTTAAATATGGTAGTTTTTAATAACATCTTTTATCACATTTTAAATATGTGATTTAAATATGGCAAACCCTTGCACTGCCTCAAAGATTGAGTCACTTAATGAAGAGTGTCCTTCATTACAATCTATTTGGCAATGCCAGGCCTCATAAACAAATACACTTAATTTCCAACAGAAAAGGTCTTACTTCATTTTCAATTCAAGTAAGTATATTAATGTTATGAAATATTATTTTAAAAAACAGATATAAACTGCAGAACACATGTGCCAGAGGCATGTTTACAATGAAGCTAACAAAGCATATCCACCAGAGTGCCTTCCTTTCAAGATTCCTTCTTTTCTAATTTTAAATATTCACTTTCACACCTCATTTTATATTTTTTGTCATAAAGAAAGCCCCTAAAACTTTGGGCCCAGTATTTCTCCCTGCATATCTGTAAAGATTAACCACAAGGGCAGTCAGGATAAGCTTAAGATGATATATATCTAATATAAATAATTTCATAATTAAGTTATGAAAATAAGATAAACCACTTCTCATTACTTAATTTCTAATAAATAATACAGAATAAAATATAGTTAAGATTGTAGTTTATGAAGTAAGGAATATGGTAAAAGGCCTGTTATTCCTTCACTAAATGTTTTGGGGAGATTGAACTCTGATGTTTGACTTTGGGGAATCACTAATAAGCTTGTATAAAAATCAGAAAGAACATTTTCATCTTGGTCAAAATTTTCTTATGTATTTAATGAAAAAAGAAAGCTATATACTGCTAAAAACTAATCAGATGGAGAGTTGACATACAGTTTTATTTTTACATTAGCAAGTAAAAAAATATGTTTTATATAATGAAATGAGGTTAACTAATTTTTATATAAATATTTCAGAATGAGTTGATAGATTTTACCTAACTTGGTGAGTAACAAACACTAAATCTATAGTCTGAAAGAAATCACATAATTTTTATCCATAGGATTTAGCCATCATATCTTTAAAAAAACACAGTTTCACTTAAAAGAATCACTGTCATCTATATTGCTTTTATTGTTCAAAAGTATTCTTTGTTTAGCTAACAGCATGTCCTGTGGGGTGGTATTAAGAAGAACTGCAGGGAAAATGCTTCTGCTAACGTATTTTTTTTAATTGTTCAGGCAGGGTTTTGGACTCATGGAGAATCCTTATACGGTTCTTGCTGTAGAGCCCCTTGGAAAATCTTTGTATATCCTTGGGCTTATTACTCTTCACCTGGTTTGAAGATCTCTGTACTAGTCATGAGATAAGGATCTAACCTAAGACTGTAATAGCAGTATTGGTTAGGAGACTGATTTGAGACATTTTTAAGACATACTTTAGCAGCTCAGTAGACTTGGGAGTGAAAGATGAGTCAAAAATAATTCTTAAGATTTCCATTTTGGGGAGTTAGATAGATTGTGATACCATTCATTGCATAGAGAAAATAAAATAATCAGCAAGTGTCAGAGAGGTGGGGATGGAGTTCTTTTTGCCTGTGCAGAACTTTAATGTGGAAATGTTCAATAAGCCTGAAACACAAAAGAAAGGTCAAAGATAGGGTGGTTATAAATTTGGGAGACTGTAGTATATAAGTGAATGATACTACCTAAGGGAAATTTTTTTAGAGAGGAAGAGATCTGGTGATGGAACCTTCGGGGAAAGGTTAACACAGGAAATGAACCTCTCCACAAAAGCAGAATAGAAAGAAAACAGTTTCATTACTGAATAAGCAGTAATCCAGAAAGTAATGTGCATCATAAGCAATCTGCTAGGAGATTACAAAAACAGAAAGAAATCTCACCCTTTTATAAAATGGCCAAACAGATTCAACCCGTTACATACATGTTCTCAGGATAAACAATAACTAGTCCTCAAGTAAGAGGACTTGACAGCACCATCTGTCACACATTGTTCATCCTAAATTCACTTAGTAATAGGAGTGCCCATCTGTGTTAGCTAATTGGCTTTATCCAAAAGAAAAATAAACTTCTCATATCTTTATGATAGGAGATAGTTTTGCAACTTGAAGGATACACCTGCCCAAGTTAGGCTCCTGCCCTGCCATTGAAACTGGGAGGTAAGGGCATGATAATCCTTAATGATTACATTCCAAAGAGGTAGTTCCCAGGTTCTTGAGAAAGACATTCCTGTATGTAAACCTGGCAAGAGGCTTTTAAGCAAAAGCTTTTAAAAAGATTTTTACATAAATTTCAAAGAGACAGAGAATTCACAATTTTAAATTTTCTAAAGTAAATGCTCTAAGAAAAGAGGAGAGTCTTTTCTCTCCTTTTCCACGTGGACTTTTTCTTTTTTAACTTTGTATTTATCCTTACATAAGTAATGGGAAAGAGAAAAACAGCCTTGGAGATGAAGGGGGAAATTACAAAGAGTGCTTTCATGAAAGCCACAGCAAGAGAATATTTTTCAAGGGTTGAGGGAGTAGTACTGCCTTCAGGGAGGTTATATTCCATTTGTGGGATAACACTAGCATATATTTTAAAATAACATAAACATGTAACTTTTTAAAAAAACTAAATATAAAAAGAATATAACATTACATGGTTAATTGTATAAGTATAGACTATAAGTACTTTAGAATTTCAGTAGCATGAGGTCATTATGACCTTAAGTAGTCAGAGGAGGATTTCTGGAAGTTGGATTTTGAAGGAGAGGTTCATTTTATGTAATTCATATTTTAAACCTCAGTCTAAAACAGATCTCCATTGCAATTCTCTATAATAGGATAAATTTAGCAATGGTACCATGATATTCATAATCCATTGGCCAAAATTCTCAGTTGGGTAGTGTTGATACTTGAGTAGAGGATGACACCATTTTCCCCTATGACTTTCTATTTTCTGTGCTCCCTCTCACAATCACCCCCTTTCAGATTAACAGGTTATTTCTTTTATATGTTAGTAGCTTCAAGTCTTCTCCAGCTTAAAAGGCACTTTTTCTCTAGGATTCTTATCTGGATTCATTTTAAGCTTAACTTGCAAAGATCAGCTATTTTTCAGTTCTTAGAAGGTACTTTGCAGTTAACCCTGATGTTACTGAGACAAACATTATTTTTTTGGATTTTAGTTATCTTTGTGTTTTGGAGGTTCCCAAGCCCACCCTCAGGTTTGATGATTCACTAGGAGGACTCATAGGACTCAGCGTACAGCCATAAGCATGGCTATGACTCATTATAGGAAAAGGATGCAAAGCAAAATCAGCAAAGAGAAAAGGCGTCTGGGGGAACACCTGGAAGAAACCAAGCACAAGTTTCTAAGTGTCCTCTCCGAGTAAAGTCATATGGGACACACTTAATTCCCCCAGCAATAAACTGTGACAACATGTGTGAAATGTCATCTACTAAGGAAGCTCATTAGAGACTCAGTGCCCACAGTTTTTATTGGGACTGGCCATGTAGACATTCTCTGCCTGGCACATTAACAAGATTCTAGACTCATTTGTTTGCAGAAATGGTTTAGGTACAGTGAGCCACTTTTATTATCATTTAGGGAATTGTGGAAACCCTCCTGAAATCTAAGATCCCAGGTACCGGTCAAGTGTCAACACTGCAAACAGACCTTTTTGAAGATGGCAGCCTCAGGCCTGCTGTGTTAACCCTTTTCTCTACAGCTTTTTTTTTTTTTTAATCCAATGATTTGCAGATAAAATCAAGAATTGACACATCAAGTAACTGTCTTTTAAATATACTACAGGTATGCGCCAGAATCACTGACAGAGAGCAAGTTTTCTGTGGCCTCAGATGTTTGGAGCTTTGGAGTGGTTCTGTATGAACTTTTCACATATATTGAGAAGAGTAAAAGCCCACCAGCGGTCAGTTTGCTTTTTATTTACTCTCAAGGTTTTTTTTTAACATGAGAAAAGCTTTTTCCAAAGAATAATATAGTAAGCTTAGGGTTATTTTAGAGCTCCTATTGCTTATTTGTAAGACAGCATCCAACAAAATAATCCCAAACTTACTCATTAAATTAACTTGATGTTTTAAAAAGTGGGGATTGGAGTACTATTTAGTATATTCTCTTAATATTATCTTCAGTAAATCCGATAAACTCATTCATTCCAGGAATTATTGCAAAAGTTAAACCTTTTAAAGTAATATTTTTTCTGCTCATTGTATAATTTTAATATAGGAAAGTATAAAAAAAGAAAATAAAAATAATCTCTAATTCAACTACTCAGAAATAACCACTTTAATACCACTTTAATAACCACTTTAATGTTTTCTTACAGGCTTCTTTTAATTTTATATGTAAAAGCGAAATTTTATTAAAAAGATTTCTTTTATAACAGGTCATACTGTACAGTTTGCTATCCTGCTTTTTCATTACATATTATAGCATGGATATTTTCCTATATTAGTAGATATTTACTGCAAATATGACTTCTAATTCCTTGGTAACATTTCATCATAAGGATATAATTTCTGGACAGTTATTTTCCATTTTTCAGTCTTTTAAGTAACACTTCATTGAACATAGTGCACATCCTTATATATATTTATGTTCATCTCTGGTTGTCATCTTAGAGAGTAAAAGTATAATTATAGGTGAAACGTTATGAACTCTTTTATAGGATTTTCATTATTTCAAAATGCTTTCCAGGAAAGCTGTACCAGATTAGACTCTCAGTAGCTGTGCATAGGGGTATACGTTTTATCATTTGCCAGTGTTGACTATTATATTTCTACACAGTTTTGCCAGATTGATGGGAGAGAAGGTGTACCTATTGGATTTTAATTTGCATTTCTGCTATTAGTGTGATTGAATACATATTTATTGGGTGTTTGGGGTGAGTCTGTGCGTGTGTGCATTGTATCTTCATGTACTTTGCCCATTTTTATATTGGTAATTTTTCTTACAAGTATATAAGAGCTCTCTGTGTTTAAATAAACGATGTGTTCATTGTAAATACTTCTCTAGCTTATGGTTCAGACTTCAATTTTATGAATTTTAAACATAGAACTTCTTCTCTCCGTTCCATTTATGCTTAAATATTCATTCTGTATTTTCTTTTTATTATGTCTTCTTTTACATTCAACTTTTTATTTCACCTGAAATGTAATATGATGTGTTAAAACAAAGTAAGTGTTTTTAGTTCACTGGTTTTGAACCTTTTCAGGGAATTTGTGCTGAGTATGTTACAGTTATGGAAATGGCATTATAGACGTTCCACATTTAACAATCTTTTCTGAACTGTGACTGAAAACAAAGTTTTTGAAGTTAAAATAGTCTGTTTTTAAAATGTTTCAAGGTAAGGAAACATACAGGATTTTTCCCATTTACTGGAAGAAGTTGAGAAAGAATTCTGATTCAAATTAAATGTACCAAAAATGTGTCATTGAAAAGTGGGTTTGTGTTTCAGGAATTTATGCGTATGATTGGCAATGACAAACAAGGACAGATGATTGTGTTTCATTTGATAGAACTCCTGAAGAATAATGGAAGATTACCAAGACCAGATGGATGCCCAGATGAGGTAACAAAAAATTTTTTTTATCCACAGTAATCATGCATTTTCTTTCTCTCTTTACCCAAGGCTTTCAGGTCAGTTTATGTAATTTAATTTGCTGAGGTTGTAGAAAAATAGCATAATCATGACTGTGGATATAGGTATATCCATGACACATGCCTGTACAGGCAAATTAAGTGGGAGTTCTGAATTTATGTCTTCACCAATTAAAAGATGGCACTTTGTGTTCATTGTAAGTTTGGTTTATTTTCCCTTTTACAGATTTATGTAATCATGACAGAATGCTGGAACAATAATGTAAACCAACGCCCCTCTTTCAGAGACCTAGCTCTTCGAGTTGATCAAATAAGAGACAGCATGGCTGGATGAAAGAAATGAACTTCACTCTGAGACCAAAATAGACTTACAGAACAAAGTGTTGTATTTCACATTACTGTGGACTGTTACTACATATATCATTATTATGTATATCATGACTTTAGCCAGCAAAAGTGTGGAAATGTCTGCTCAGAGCTTTCAAAAGTTTAGTGAGTTTTTCTTCATGAGAACACCAGCCAAAGACACTGATGAAAAGTCCTTAGCAAAGAGTTTTGTAAAAAGTTTCGTGAACCTAATCAGTCAGTTAATATCACCTTTGGCAAAAGAAGAAACTTAGACTTTTTTCAACTCAGAATTATGAGAGATGAAAAAATTGTAAATGTTTAATATGCACAGAATACGTATGTACAGTTTTTACCACAGTGAATGTATAATACCTTGGCATCTTGTGTGATGTTTTACACAGGAGCTGGTATTCATAAATAATGTTTTCTAATTTTTCCATAGTTGATCTGTAATAACTTCACTGTACAAATTAAGATGCTCAGATAATTGAATAAGCACCTTTGTGTCCTTGTTCATCTATATCACTGGCCAGCAATATAAGCAGGAGTATACTTTTAGCTTGTTGTTCTATGTACTGTAAATATTTTTCAAAGCAAAGGAACAAATGTTTAGTTTTATTTGTATAGGGAATTTCCCTGACTCTAAAGAATACATTTTGAAATGGAACAAGTTTACAAAGATATAACACAATCTATTTTCTTATTTCTCTCCCTTGTATCTGTTTGTGGTGAGTATGTTTTTTAAATAGAACTATCTCCAGGCTTTTCTAAGACTACAGTTTTCTTTTAAAATTTTGAGATGACGAATGCCAGGAATATTGTCATCCCTTGAGCTACTGGCTGCCAATAAGACTCTTCAATCCCTGGGACCTATAGTCATGGATTAAATTTAAGTGTAAGCCATAAAATAGATTGTTTTTCATATATATTAAGCCTATTAAGATGCACAGTGGGTTAGGAATTTTTTTCTAAAGAATGTATATTTTAGGGATTTCAGAAATCTATTGCCGTTATAAAAGAGATTTTCTTTTGTTAGATTCTTACAAGGGAGAAATAAGAGTAAATTGGTAAAAAAAAAAAGTATGCTTGTTAATTTTATTCAAGAATGCCAGTAGAAAATTCATAATGTCTTGAAGAAAAATCAGCATTTTTCAACTGAGTATACAGGGTCGTTTGTTACTGTTGTCGTTTGTTTTAGTGCTACTCCATTTTAGACACCATACCTAAAATTTGGTGGGGTTTTTTGTCTGTGTGTTATTTATACAAAGTTTAAAATACTTGGCATTTTGGTTAAAAAGAAAATAGTTTATTTTCAATGCTGTATGCTTTTTTTCTTTTAACTTCAACTTAAGACTTTTGATTATCTTTCTATTTTTTGGAGCTGGTTTTAAAATGAATATTATATAAGAAAAAAATGCCTCACATATAAAGTTTGAGTTTTTTGTTGGAAGGAAAGGGAAGAAATGCTTTTTGTGCTATCTTTAAAGCATTTTACCAAATAGTAGTTACACCAAATGCACAAATCATCTAAAATATTAGATTTTAAAAGATTTCTAGTAAACATTATATTTTGATGAAAGTTGAATATAATTTTTGTTTAATTTGTAAAGACTCCTCCAGGATCTCTGTATGTAATGCATTTAAGAGATCTTCTGTTCTGCTACTTTTCATGTCAAAAGTAGCATATCATATAATATGTTTTATTGCAGATTTTTGTACTAAAACTTAAGTACCTAAAAGTAGATTCTTAAAGGTTGATAACATTTTGTTTATAAAAACAAGGATGTTAACTAGGTTTCTTTTTTAAAAGTTTTTCTTTTAATGTTTCCATTTTTAGTTTTAGGAGAAAAATCCCACATAAACATCTTAAGTTTTTAGAATGGGATGACAGCCTTATTGTAAAATTCTAAGTTTTCAAGAAAATTATTATTTATTGAGGGTTTGTGATGTTTTAAATTTTGATTCTGACCATACATAAAAGGAAATTAACCATGCAGCTGTTTAGTTGATTCTGCACAAGACACAGGTAAGTCAGTATTGTACCAGTTAATGCCAAAATGTTTCTTCAAAGTAATACTCTTCAGAAATGAGCGTAAAGATTTTCTTAAAAATCTGCAATTCCGTAAATATTCCAGTATTCTAAGTTACACAGTCTTTATATAAATAATTCCCTATATCCATGACTACCTGCTTTGGGAAATAGTCACTTTTTCATGTTATTTATGTATGCTGCCAGTAGCACTATAATTTGCTATGGAAGAGTGCTTTCTTACAACCCAAGACTTCTGCTTTAAAGTCAAGTGAAATTTTTATCAAAACCGTAACTCCTGATATTTAAATTTTATTTAAAGAGTTTTGTTATAGAGTAGACTTTAGAAAATACCTATAGTTCTATACCTGGGGAGCCATTCTCTTTGGGGTGGCATGATGTCGTCAGATTGAGACTGTATTATTTTCTTCATTGTGCCTTTAGCATGTTCCCACAAAACTGAAATACTCATGTAATAAATATTCAGAAGTTATTTTCTTTTGTATTGTCACCTAACCAAGGAACTGCAGGTACACACACTGATTTAGGGATGTGCAGAGAAAGACTTTTATAAAGTAAACTTACCTTTCATTTTAAAAGAAATGCTTCCTAAGAGTGCTATCAACTACTTTGTGCTGCTTATGAACACTGCTATATCCACCCTAGGTCTGGTATGTAAATTATTTCTAATGAAAGTTTCTCTAATTTTCCAGTACAACTCACTAAAGATCTTTAATCTCCTATATTAGAATAAATAATAACAGTAAGTCAGCAGAATTATCCAAACAGAAGACTAGGTTATATGAGATAATCATTTTATTTAAGGAAAAAAAAAGTATAAATATCAGAAAATACTTTATATTGACACCCTGATTTGGGTTGGTTGTACTTAATTTCAAGATACTAGCTGCTAACTGTTTTACGATACTGACAGTAACATTAGAGATTTCAGAATGACAGTGAGAGAATTTTTAAACTTTCACATTAGTCAAGTGCACACGATATGCACATCACATTATATACCTAAATATTAAAATTACCAATTTTGTTTTACTTTATTACAATATGTTCTTCATAGGTTAAGAAATTAACTTCTACTGTGCTTATGCTAGATGGCATTGCTTAGTGCAGGCCCTAAATATTGTTCTTTTCCAGTCTTACAAAATTTATAAGGAAAATCCTTATCTCCAACTGAAACACCAATTGTTATTAATATATCTTTAAAAGTTTTTAATTATCATTTTCTATTATAAGGCCTTTCTTTGCATAGCAAATTGCTTAACATCTTATTTTGAACTGGAACAGATTTATAACATGAGATCATTAAAAGAGCTTCTAGGAGTCTCTGTTCCAGTTATCCATATTCTTAGTCTTTGTGAATATGTGTTATGTTTTTAATACCTGTACTAGGAAGCACTCCTATAGATGCTATTTATTGGGGTCAAGCAAGTCAACTTTGAGCAGTGTGAACAGACAGTAGCATTGCTTTTAAGTCTGACAACAGGTAGATAGCATTAATAAACAGAACAAGGTGGTAAGGAAAAGGCATATAGCAGGATTTTATAGAGACAGCAGGCAGCTGGAAAGGCAACTTACCAGTTGCAGATGATAAGCAGAACAAGTACACTAAAAACACAAATGAAAGTATGCAATAGAAAGGTTTTTCATCAATTATCCTTTCAAGATCATAGTTGAAAATGTTTAGGTGCTTTTCACACGCAAAAAAGATAATTAAGTATTTTTAATGAAAAAGTTTAGGGTGTTTCAAATGCTTAGAATATATGTGAATCTCAGAGCATGAATTTTCTAGTAGCATGGAGTATAAGCTTGTGAGTTGCAATTTATTTACTGAAACTAAAAACGTTAGAGATTAAGAAAGTCATAGATACTAAAGAAAATGGAAATAAAATGAGAAAGATAAACCTACACTCAATTATGAAAATATCTACTTGAAATTTCTTTCAACTTCAACAACTTGAAATACACATATGATACATTCTTCTTCTGCAATAATAGTTTTGTTGAAGGTTGCTGTAATGAACCTTTTTAACTATCCCAAATTTTAAGTATATAAGAACAAAATTTATTTTATGTCCTTAGTAACATTTAGGATGTTGGATTAATTTTGGTTGGAGAGGAATGAAAAGAAAGTTGTTTGTAGAATCAAAGACTTCACCTTGATTCTTAAGAGCAAATAACTGAATTCTCCAACAGTACTGATTAAAATACTTTTAATCTGCATAACCAAGGTAGCCTAAGCCTTTGAGTGCAAGCTGCAGGTAGCGCAGATCTAAATGACAAATTTGAAGTAGTTTGTGTCAAATGATAGCACTTATTGTCTACTGTTTACAAAGCATTTTAAAAACAAGTCACTGTTTCCCACAAATTCTGCCAGAATATTGTTTTTCTTTTCTTCTTTCTTTCTTTTAAAAAGTGTTTTAAATCCTTGTTTCTATCAGTAATTTGAGGATAGCATGAATCCCATGGTACCACTTCTTTTCCTTCCTGTTACTAGTTTTGTAACATTATCATGCAGCTTACTGAATAGGAATTCTTGATAATAGAGTAAAGGTATTGGTGACAAAGAAAAAAAAATTGAAACAAAGTCTTACCTTTTTATTGAAGGACTTTGAGAAATGTTGAAGTTGAATTCTAAAACTCTTGAGTATACCATTATAATTCTTTAAGGTGGCCCAGTTTACTTCCAAAGCTACTATTACAGAGGAAGAAATTTCCAAAAATTGAGACTACCATAGAGGACAATCTTTTTCCTAAAAATGATTTGGAAATCTGAGACCTAAGGAACAATGAGTGTGGTGATGGGAAAAGGGAATTTCTAAATTTCTGTCAGATCTCAGATTAAACTCGCACTTAATGGGAATTTTTTTCTAACATCTTGAATTTCTCTTATTTTAGGATTACTATGATAAATGTAGAAGGTTAGAGTATGGATAGCTCAGTCAAATGCCAACTACTATGGGTCTAGTAATTCTCTAGGTCATTTTCTTATAGTTGCTCCAACGTGGCCACTTAAGGGTCAGATTCTTAGTAGAGTCATTTTTCTTTTCTAAACTTAAAAAAAAAAACCAAAAAATGACCATATCCACATTGTATACCACTTCAGACCTTTCTATATATGCACTCACTTACCAATGCTGACAAATGCAAGCTCCCTACGACTTTCAAGTTGCATCAGATAATTCACGTTAACGGTTGTAGTAATGAAGCCATCACCTCTTAATAAAATCCTAAATCCCATTCACATATTCAGAATAAAGAAGAGTAGATAGTGCAGTTGTGGATATAGACAAAGGAATCCTGGGTAATCTTATGGGAGGGTTAATCCTGAAGGTATTTCACCTTAGAATTTCCTGTTAAGTAAACATTCAGAGAAAACCAAGAGATTTAAACTTTCAGTTCTGCAGCTTTGAGGATATGAGCCCTAATCATGGTGTTTTCAGGGAATCTAGTTTGGTGTGGCCCCAAATGATCTCAAATATAAAGGATCCATAAAAAGGATATCTTGGGCCTGGGCCTAATATAAGAGTTGGAGTTTCATGTATTACTTCTCTTTAGAGCATGCTTTTTCAGCAGAGGTGATATCAACTCTCGGGGTGAGTACTGATGAAAAACCTTGTTCTTTTTATGTATAAAGCACAGAAATACATACAGTACATAAACAGGTATGCAATGATATGAAAATTTCATGGTGAAAGAGATTAGGAGAAAATGTCTAAAAACC